CAAAAGAGTCTCCGCGGCGGGGGTCGGCGTGGCTCTTGCTTTTCCTAGCTGGGGTGTACGGTAAGTGTCCGCCTCCCCGCTCCCCGCTGACCGAACAAAGCTGGGGCGACCCCGGGGGCCACCAGGCCTCCAGGACGGGCTTTGCCTTGGCGACCCGAGGAGACCCCGGCCGCCGGCGGGACAAAGACCCACGCAGGGTGTGCGGGGAGGGTTGTCTGCTCTCGGGGATGCTTGGGTCCGTTCGCCGTCGACGACCCCTCCGGGCGAGGGAGGCGGGCCGGTCGGGGCCAGGGGTCCCTGCAGAAGGACGGTGTGCGGGCGGACTGCCCGGCGCGAGGGCCCGGGCGGACTGCTCGCTCCTCTAGCTCTGGCGCTCGCCCGGCGCCGGCTGCACAGTCGTCTGGCACAAAGATGTGACCGTGAGACTACGAAGGGGAGGTCGCCTCCGGGACGGTCCTGCCGCCACCACCTTCGATCCTTCCCGAGGCAGGAAGTTCTCTTCTCGGTGAAATCGCTGTCGCGCCCATCTCTCCCTCCTTCTCTCTCTCTCTCTCTCGGTCCTCACTCCCTGAAAAAGCACCTCGCTTGCTTCCTTCCCACCCCTCCACCTCGGTGCCCGGGCTCTGTGGGCTCCGGGCGTGTAGGATCTTGTTGCTCCCCAGTAACTGCACGCCAGAGAAGGCCAGAAAATAGTTTCCAGCCCCACCTCAGTCTTATGCTATTGGGGCGTACAAGTCTGCCCTGACTCCCTGTTCGCTTGTCATTCCGTCCATGCCCTCCTCCCTCCGCTACTGTTGTCACTGTTGCCTGATGTCAGTCGATGATCTGCTAGGAATACCAGTCTTTAAGGCTAGCAGAAGGCTGATGGAATGTGGGAACTGTGCTTTGTGTGAACTAGAGTTCGTCACTTGAGTCCTGAGCTTGGGCTCAGGTCTGACTTCACCATTCTTAGTTCTCCTTAGTTAACTCCTTGAGTGGGTTTAGAAGAGAACACGGTTAGTATTTCCAGTTTGGAGCATTGCTTTGATTTCTCAGAAAAACAGTTTGAAGCTACCATTTTTTTTTTTCCCTGATAAATTTTACTTACAAAAAGTCCAAGTCATTTGCCACAAATCCTGGTTCGGTAGTATAATGGTGGTGGTTTCTGTCAACATATAATTCCCCAGCATATGGTAGCATCTCTTTTGAAAGCATTTGTCTGTAGAATTGAACATGATGGTAACTTTCCTTACCTGAGACTTCATATTACATGAAAAATATAATGGACTTAAATTGCCATTTACTGGCAGCCAAGAAATAGTAGTCTTTTCAGTATAATTCAGGATGCTGCTCTCTTATCTGAATAGTCTGTTATTTTGTTCTGGGCAGGAGGATGGGTTCATCCACATCTGATGTAGTAACTGTCAGTGATGTGTTTGTGTGGGAGCAGAAAACTCAGTGCGTTTTCATTGTTAGCTCCAGCCCCGCTTGACTGATGACTTGTGGGTTTGGGTCTACACCAGCGATCAATAAGCTATTACGTTGTTTCTTCTAGCCTGGAGGTGAGTATATAGTCCTGCTCTAGGTTTAGTAGAATGGCCCAGGAGAAAGGGAAGCGAGCAGAATCTTTAATCTAGGGTGATTAGGGGTGTCCAGTTGTGTAAACACTGCACTGTAATCAGAATTGTGTTTATGTGGTGTCTGATCAGACGAGATCAGTAAGTGAAGTCTTTGATAAAAACCCATACCATTAATATTTGAACTAAAAATCTTTTCCCTGTAGAGGAAAAGAGGCTGTAAAGCAGTATTGGCCGTGATGTATTCTTTTATACCAGGACACAAAGTGGCCTTCTGGTAGGTACTTTCCAAAGGGTTATCTTTTGGGTGTTTGTGTTCTGTGGGGGAATTGAAGCCAGAGACCAGAAGTCTTTTTTCCAGCATGGCAGGATCATATTTATAAAACTAACCAGTGATTAAGATCCATGTCTCCAGCCACTCGAGTTTCAAATAGTAAGAAAATAGGAGTCAGTGAGGTAGACAAAACATTGAACTATGTTGGTAGAGCTGAAAGGAATTCTTCACTCTGGAGCTGGAGGCATTCTCTGTACACACAGCTCTGTGTGTGTGTGTGTCTGTCTGTCTCCACTCAGGTTTGGGTTTATATTAATTAGTGACAGGTAAAACACGTACTCCCCTTGGACTAGTGGTGTTTGGGTAAGCGCACTGTGTAACAGTATAGTGGACCATCTGAATATTTTAAAATATATTTTGGGAGATGTCTCAGGAAAGTGCTTGAAGACCTAAATTCCATCCGTAAACCCACGTAAAAAGTTGGGCAGAATGTCATGCACTAGGGATGGTCGAGACAGCCAACAGATTCTCTGGGACTCATTAGCTAGACAGCTTAACGTTCTTGGCAAGCTCCAGACCCGTGAGAGCCTTGTATGGGATAGATGGACAGCACCTAAAGAGGGACACATGAGGTTGTCCTCTGACCTCTGACCTCCATATATACCTACACGTGTGCGTGCACATATGTACATACACAAATGTGGCCTCCATAATAGAAATCTCTTGTGATAGCTCCATAGGTAAAGGTGTTCACTGCAAAGTCTAATGTCTTGAATTCAGTCGCTGGAGCCCACATAAGATAGAAGGTGAGAACCACCTTCACAAAGCTGTGCTCCGGCCTCCACCAGCAGACGTGGTGGCACACATACCCTCGCTCACACACAGGTCCTGTATGCACACATACTTATGTAGGTAAAGGAATGAATAAATAAAATTAGTTCTGTTAAAGCAAGTGAATATTCTGAATACCTTGACATAGACCTGGTAAGGAAAGGTTTTTGAGCCTATATTTAGGGAATTCCAAACCTGTTTTATTTGCTGGCTTGTTGAGTTGGTGTTTTAGGTTACTCTTGGCTATTAACCAAAATACAAACCTTTAAACCATTTCTTGTAGCTTTAAAAATCCTCACTTGGTATTTATATTCTTTACATGACCTTTTATTTCCTGGCGAACTATGATATGTGACTATTATAGCTGCAGGTTATCTTTCTAGATGCCAAGGTCTTGCTTGAACTTTTAATTGTATAAAAGTATACAAAGAGTTTGTCTGCCAACTATAGTTAGTGTTTTCTGAGGCAGTTGTCCTAGGACCAGTAATCACCTTCCGGCTGTTCTGTCTGCAGAGCTTTGAATATGCAGGAGAGCAGGAGAAAGTAAACGTTGATAGCTGCCATTTAGAAGCTTGGAGGAGTGAGAACATTAGTGGAGGAATCCCAGAGCTTAGCAGGGTCAACCCTAGCCCACTGCCAGGGAGAATGTCCTGCTCAGCTTCTCATCCCAGGGTGCCTGCCTTGCTCCATAGTGGAAGTTCTGAAAATCTCTCTTCCAGTCATTCGACCTTAGTCTTGTTTTTTTCCCAGACCAGTTTGGCCGCAGTAGCAGCACCTCTGCTCTGTCTTTGCTGTCTGTGTCCTCGATCAGTGTTTGCCAACCGCCACTCAACTAGGACCCTAGGCGTAACTTTTACATGGCTTTCTAGATAGATCTAGAAAAAGAAACTTAAGATGATATTTTGATGAAAAAGTTCTTAAGATGACACCTGTGATGTGCTCAGACATTTCATTCTCTCCTCTCCTGCCCCTTCCTTCCCTGGGCTTGTCTTTGGGCCCGTGGTTTGGTTTGATGAGCACTGCCCTAGGTGAAGCCTTAGCTTGTAATTTAGACATTTGTTTTGCACATCTGTGGTTTTATAAATTGCTTCAAAGGGTTACAGGTCATTAGTTTTTGCTAACTTCCTGCTAAAGGTTTGAGTGGCCGTAAAAACTCATCCTGATGGATGGATATTGACTGACCTGTGATAGCATTCATATTCAGCTTTTGATTGTGGCCAGGAATCTTTGTTATGGACCTGCTTTTCTAGATGTTGTGGAAGGGTACACCATGCTTCTTACTCTTTCTTTTATATTTAATGGATGCAGCTTTTCCCAGGGAACACTGAGCAGTACTAAAAATTTTTCCAGTTTAAGGATAGACTAGAAGTTCCAATTTTAGAAAAGTGGTAGAAATAACTGGAACAGAAAGGGAAAATGTAAGCTGATACCAATTACTTCTGAGAAAGTCAAGCTTGATTACATAAAATACGTTGAATAAAACTGAATTAATTGCCTAATATAAACCCTTCCTGGACTTCAGAGTCTAAATTATGCCTATGTCCTAGGGAAACTGTGAAGATGGGCATCGTAGTCCACAGTTGTAGGTGGTTGTGCTGAATGCAACCTTGGGAGGGGTAGCTGCCCCCGTTCCGAGAGAGCGTGGAAGAGATTTGAGTGATGTGTAGGAAATGGCCTAGAAGGTTCCTAGGGAGTATCACCTCCACGGAAGAGGGGCATTCAGCTGAAAGTGAGCAGCACTTAGAAGGACGTTAAACCTTAAATGTTTTACAGTCAGGGTCTCGCTCTGTAGCACAGGCTGTCCTTAGACTCACAGCCATCCTCCTGCTTCAGACTCCTCAGTGCTGAGTAGAAATATGAGCTGCCAGCCTGGGCCAAGATTTCTTCTTTTCAGAATAGAAAGTCTAAAGTTTATGGAGAAATAAAGGGA